GTTTTGGGACCTGCCCAATCTGCTAATCACATAAACTACTACACTTATTGATCTAAATAATTTTCCTTTTAACAACAGTAATTATCCTGTGTGCTAACTTAGTTCCAATAAATATTAAGGAGTACCATTACTTCTCAAAAAGCAGTTGAGACTTCTTTGGGGGAAATAAGGCAGGGTGAGGGACATTTTAGAAGCAACACTATAAGTATGTGATATTGAAAATTTTATTAAAAGTTTCTTTTCCCTTTTAGAATGGGAGACTACTACTATTGCATTAACTGCCATAGAGTAAGATGCCAAAAGTCATGTTTAAGATAAAATGAGACTTCAAAGAAACATCCTTGAGGCTGGGGATGTGGCTCAAGTGGTAGCGTGCTCGCCTGGCATGCGTGCGGCCCAGGTTCGATCTTCAGCACCACATACCAACAAAGATGTTGTGTCTGCTGAGAACTTAAAAATAAATATTAAAAAAAAATTTAATTAAAAAAAAAAGAGAATTTTTTAGTTTTTCGGCGGACACAACATCTTTGTTCATATGTGATGCTGAGGATCGAACCTGGGCCGCACGCATGCCAGGCGAGCATGCTACCGCTTAAGCCACATCCCCAGCCCCTACAATACCTTTATTTTATTTGTATGTGGTGCTGAGGATTAAACCCAGTGCCTCACACATGCTAGGCGAGCGCTCTACCACTGAGCCACAACCCCAGCATCCCAACACTTACTCCTGATTAAAAAAAAAAAAAACAACTCAGAAAAATAGAGAACTTCTTCATTTTGATAAATAGCATCCACAAAAAGCCTGATCTATTTATTGGTAAAAGATCTAGTGAATATTTTCCTCCTAATTTGGGGAACAAGGCAAGAATGTCCACTCTGAACACTTACTCAACAAAGTACTTTATGTTCTAGCCAGGGCAATGTGGCCAGAAAAGAAAATAAATGTTATGTAGATCCGAAAGAAGGAAGGGAAATTGTCCCTATTTGAAGATGACATAATAAAAAAAGTAAAAAAAGTCTCAAGGAATCTACAAAAACATAGACTATTAAGTGAATTCAGCAAGAATGCAGAATGGAAAATAAGCATATAAATATGTGTATATATACATATATGTATATAGTTTTATTATTATTATTATCTTGGTAGTAGGGATTGAACCCAGGGATACTTTACCACTCACTGAGCTACATTCCCAGCCTTCTTCATGTTTTATTTGGAGTCAGGGTTTTACTAAGTTGATGAAGCCATTCTTGAACTTGTACCTCAGCCTCCTGAGTTGCTAGGATTACAGGCTTGTGCCACTGTTCTTAGCCAAAAATAACTGTTTTTATATACTAGCAATGTGGGTACATACATAAAATATACTGTTCCATGTACTACTGCTCAAAATAAAAGTTTTATGTATAAATGTAACCAAAGCTGGTTCAAGATGCGTACATGTCAAAAGTACATAATGCTGATGAAGAAATGACAGAATATTGAAATAAGTGGATTAGAAAACTCAACATTATAAAGACATCCATTCTCCCTAAATTGCTAAACACTTTTTATTAAAATTTCTATCAAAATTCCAGCAAGATTTTTGCAAATATAGACAGGATTATTTTAAAATTTAAATGGGAAGGTAAAGGAACTAAGATAGCTAAACCAAGTGTGAAACAGAATTCCATCTTCCTCATTTCACGCTATTTACATAGCTACACTGATCAAGACTGTGGTAGTGGCAGAAGGTTATAGAGCAATGGGATTAAATAGAGATTCACGCATATATGCCCAATTTTAAAATACTACATAATATCAAGTGATTAACACATGACCTGAATCATTTATCATCTAACTTCATCTGTAGAACATCATATGGGTAAGCTGTATTGTTTTCCCCATTTTTAAGTAGCTTGCCCTAGGTCATTTGTGTAGTAAGTGGTAGGGGTGGAATTAAAACCCACAGAGTCTAGCTAGAGTGTCCATGATGTAAACCATAATGCCATACTGCTTCTCCCGTTTAACTGATTTTTTCCCCCCAAACATGCAGAGTAATTAGCCAGGTGCGTTGGTGTACACCTATAATCTTGGCAACTCAGGAAGTTTGAGGCAAGAGGATCCCAAGTTGAAAGCCAGCCTCAGCAACTTAATGAGACCTGGCAGCAAAATAAATAAAAAGGGCTGGGGATGTGGTTCAGTAATTAAGCACTCCTGGGTTCAATCTCCAGTACCAAAGTTAGGCACTCCTGAGTTCAATCCCCAGTACCCAAAACAAACAGCCTGGTATGGTGGCGAATGCCTGTAATCTCAGCGGTTGGGGAGGCTCAAACAGGAGGATCCTGAGTTCAAGCCAGCCTCAGCAAAAAGCAAGACAGTAAGCACTGAAGTTGAGATCTTTTTTTTTTAATATTTATTTATTACTTTTTTTAGGTGGACACAATATATTTTTATGTGGTGCTGAGAATCGAATACAGTGCCTCTTGCATGCTAGGCAAGCGTGCTACCATTTGAGCCACATCCCCAACCCCTACAGTGAGATTTTTTCTGTAAATAAAATACAAAATAGGGCTGAGGATGTGGCTCAGTGGTCAGGTGTCCCTGAGTTCAATCCCCAGTACCAAAAACAAAAACAAAAACACACAAAAAACATGTAGAATTATTAAACGAAGGAAAAATAAGTCTTTTAGTAAATAGTGCTGGAGTAATTGGAAATCCATTGGCAGAACAACCCCCAGAAACAAACAGAAAATTCAACATATTAAGTGTTAAATTGAATTGGAATCTGTGGATTAAATGTAAAATATAAAACTAAATGTTTTAGGAAGAAAAACTTAGAAAATTTTTTGGATTTAGGACTAGGCACAGATTTTTTTTTTCTCCTTGTCAAATAATTCTTACACTTAAAAGATGATTCATTTAAAAATATTTATTTTTTAGTTGTAGTTGGACACAATATCTTTATTAATTTATATATGGTACTGAGGATCAAACCCAGGGCCTCACACATGCTAGGTGAGCGCTCTACCACTGAGCCACAACCCCAGCCCAAAAGCATGATTCAAAGAAGTAAAAAGTACTAAATCGGATTTCATCAAAATTAAAAACTATTACTATGAAAAAGTCCTGTGAAAAGAAAGAAAAGATAAGCTATAGACTGAGAAAATGTTTGCAAATGGCACATCTCACAAAGACATATATCTAAAATATATAAAGAACTCTCACCAGGTGCCATGTACACCTATCAAAATGGCCACAATAAATATAATGGGAATGCCAAATTCTTACATGGATACTAAGAAACTGGATTATATTGCTAGTGGGAATGTGAAATGATAGTCACTGATAATAGTTTGGCAATTTTTAAATAAAACACTCAGCTACCATACAATCCAGCTATTGTACTCCAGGGCATTTATCCCAGCAAAATGAATGTGTAGGCTCACACAAATACAAATTACACACAAATTACACAATGGAAACAACCCAGACATTCTCCAACAGGTGAATGAATGGTTAAACTAGTACATTCAATAAATACCATGGAATAGCTGGGGATGTAGTTCAGTGGTAGAAAGTTTGCTTAGCATGTGTGAGGCCCTGGGTTCAGTTCCATGGAATATGACCCATATGAGGGCTGGGGTTGTGGCTTGGAGGTAGAGCACTTGCCTAGCATGTGTGAGGCCCTGGGTTCGATCCCCAGCACCACATAGAACATTACAGGTGTGTGCCACTGTGCCTGGTTTATAATTCCATTTATATAACTTTTTTTTAGGGGGGAGGGGAGCAACAGAGATTGAACCCAGGAGTGCTTAACCACTGAGACACATCCCCAGTCTTTTTATATTTTATTTTGAGACAGGGTCTTACTAGATTGCTGAGGCTGGCTTTGAATTTGTGATCTTCCTGCTTCAGCCTTTCCAACTGCTGGGATTACAGGTGTGCACCATTGCACCAGTCCATTTATATAACTTTTTGGACAGGATCTTGCTGTGTTGCCAGGCTGGTCTTGAACTCCTTGGTTTTAGTGATTCTCCTGCCTTAGCCTCCTGAGTAGCTGGGACTACAGGTGTGTGCCCTCATACCTGGCTCATACACACACACACACACACACACACACACACACACACACACACACACACATATACATACACAGAATACACACACAGAGGAAGATTGGGATGGTTATAAAAGGGCAACCTGAAGGATCCTCAGTGATATTAATATCTTGGTTGTGATATTGTACTATAGTTTTTATGTATGTGTGTGTACTGGGGTTTAACCCTGGGATGCTTTACCACTGAGCTACCTTTCAGCTTTTTTTTTTTTAAATATTTTTTAGTTGTAGAGCGACACAATACCTTTATTTATTTGCTTATTTTTATGTGGTGCTGGGGATCAAACCCAGTGCCTCACTAATGCTAGACTAGCACTCTACCACTGAACCACAACCCCAGCCTTTTTCATTTTTTTTTTTTTTGAGACAGAGTCTCACTAAGTTGCTGAGGCTAGATTTGAATTTATGTTCCTTTTCGCTCAGCCTCTGGAATAGCTGAGATTACAGGTGTGTACCACCATACTGGACCTGTACTGTAGTTTTGTAAATGATTAGCATCAGGGGTACTGGTACAGGGATATCTTTGTATTATTTTCTTACAACTGAATGTTAATCTACGATAATCTCAAAATAACATGTTTAATTAAAAAAAAGTACGGGGCAGATGCATAGCTTAGCCATGGTACAGCACTTGCCTATTGTACATAAGGCCCTGGATACCATCCCCAGCACTGTTTCTCCTCCTCCCCCCAAATAGTATGGATTGTTTCCAGATCCCTTTTGTCTTCATATGTCTTGGATTGTTAGCATTGCAAGGAAAGATAGACACATTAATGCTATTGGTGAGAGTATCAACTCTCCTATTCTTGTGATCCCTAGAGGGTCATATTTTTTGAGGAGCATGAGTTCTGCATTCAGCAAAAATACCTCATTCACCAGACATGATAACTCATTCAATGAGGATGCTTTGAACATACGTAGGTTTTGTTTTATGTAGCAGATGTCAGATGTCCAATCTCTGCTGGGGTGATCCAGGAAAAGAAGCCTAAAATGCAAGAAATTGCCCTGAGTCCCCCACAGCTGAAAGCTGAATTGGGAAGAACCAATAATGGTTAATAATCCTAACAAGAAACTTCCATAGGCCCAATTGGTCCTGGTATGTAGTCTGGTGAGAGATGGGCAGAGGGACAAATAATGGAGTAGGAAGTCCTATTGGAGCACCCAGGCCAAGGATGATATAAGAGATATTATGCATGAAGTCTGTTGATTATTTATTTAAAAACTGTGACATATTGTTGACCATGCTTAAACTATCTCTAGAATTCAGGAAGAGATTAGAAGGGCTGAGGGATAAGGGAAGAAGGGAGATTTGTAGTTGAAGGTCCTTGACTTTTGGTTAATATAGTCCCCAAAATGAATGAACTTAAAATTAGCTGAGGGCCTATAAGGCTGTCTAATGAGTTTGTTTCTTTCAAGTTTTTTGCTTGAATATTTTAGTCCAGAGAGCCACTATCTGCTTATTTTTACCATTGGGTCTACATGTGTCCCTGGCATATGGATCACACTTTTCTCTGTATGGACAAAACAGAGTGGAAAATAGTAGTGGGTTGGAGTCGGAACATTTGAGATCTAGTCCTGAGGCTCACGTAGTAGGTGACCTTCGGGTAGCTCTTTGACCTATTTTCCTGGGATTCAGTTTCCTTGTTTGTAAATTGAAGATTAAAGTCCTTGGTGACAATTTACCGTCTCTTTTCCTCGGCCCCCATGCAGCGGGTCTCTGCAGCGCACTTCTTAGGTGTAGAATAAACATTCATCCATTGGTTAACCGGCTGCAGGCCGAGATCCGCGCAGAGGACAAGGAGATGCCTCTTCTCAGCTCCTAGGCACACAGCCTTCGCCACAGACCGCAGCGGCTGGTCGCGTCCCTCTTACCAGCCCGAGAGGCCTTTGACGCCACTTCTCACTGCCAGATTCCTGGAGTGGGGCTGGTGCTCAACGAATGAGTGAATGGGTGAGGGAAATGGACAAGAAGTGGACCCAGTCATCCCGGAGTTGCGCGTTTAGCTAACGAGTGCCCGCAGACAATAACAAACACCGCCCTTACTCACGCTTCCAGGCGACTGCCAGGTGCGAACCGCGGGCGGTTCACCAACGAAGCGGTTCAGATCCCGCCCGCAGCAAAGCAGACGTGAGGAGTGAGGGATGCGGCGGGCG